GGGGAGTGAGATGTCAGCTTAACCCACAAAAACTCCATGATTTTCCCATTTTCTTCTAACCTGTAGGCACCTTTTCTTTAAAGGGTGGCACAGATAAACAAATGCAATGTCTGTGGAGTTCACTAGATGAGAAGATTAGGATTTCTGCTACTGTAGAATTTCCAGAGATCTAGTTCTAGTTTTCATTTTCTGTCATTCATTATTCTTCATTTGGGTAGTTTGATTGACGTGTCATGCAGTAAAAGTGATCACATGCTATACATCCAAAACTACTTTAAATTATATGTTTAAATAATTATCACAGATGTTTTGAGCTGTGACATCAAAGACAGAAGACAGGAAGTACATTCTAAAGCACTTCCTGTGTTTTGTCTTTGGTATGTTTCAGTTGCTCTGTAGAACTTCAACTGAATATATTAAGTTGATTGGTACAGTAACAATACAGCTGTGTAAAGTGCAAATTAATGCACAAATAAGAATTTAGACAAAATTACTTATGATCATATTCAGTTTCAGTACGTTTTTTAAAGATGTTTTGGAAATCATGAGTGTTGAATAAAGAGTGTATGAGAGTATCATGAGAAAATAATTTAGAAAGTATTTAATTCTATTGACATCCTTACATTTTTACCAGTAAAAAGTGATTTGTTTGTCAGTACTCAGTATTAGGGGTTCAAAAGCGTACCGCTGAAACCCTATTGTAATTGTTAGAATGGCCAAGGATCAGCGATCTCCACATAAAACTGATTGTGCAGACCAAACCATAAGTCGTAAAGACTTTAAACTTGTCAGGATGGTAGTACTCACACTGCCTACAACGTCACCAAGGCTCGCCCCAATCGGCCTGACAAGGGCACTACAGCGATCAAAAGTACAAAATTGCTCATAACTCCTAAACCGTCAGTCGCAGGCTCAAGTGTCTTGTGTTGTTGGAATACATGTCTCACGCCAGACAAAATGCATTCCTCAGATTTGATCGTGAGCTGGTGAAGTTTTCACATATTTGGGATTTTTTTTTAAACCTGCTTTTGCAAACTAGTCCTAGGTTTTTTGCCCGATTGGAACCAAATCAGTGCAGAAAGATTCTCTGGAGAGTGAATATCAATAATTATAAAAAAAAGTTGAACTTTCGACTCACCGTCGCAAAGGGGCACCAAAACATTTGAAAGGGGCAGGGCTACTTTTAGTAAAATGCCTAAAACTCCTGAACGGAATGAGATATCTTCGCCAAACTCAGAACACTTATGTAAGAGCTCAATCTGAGGTAATGGGAAAAAAATTCAGGAGCTTGGCCACTTGGTGGTACTATAAGAGGGAAAAACATAAAAAATGGCTATAACTGCACAGCCATTTGTCCTATCAACATGAAAATCAGTGTGTACGGTCTTGGTCCAAAAGTGCCACAAGTGTCTACAAGAACATTTGAATATGTCAAAAAATATGGAATTTGAGCACCTATTAGACAATGCTAACAGAGGCAGATCGGAGCGAAACTTGGTGGGCCTGTTTGACCCATTGCCGCAAAAGTCTGTGAGAAATTTGAAAGAAATCAGCCACTGGGGTATCTCATTTTTCAGGGGCGTAAACAATTGTTCTGTACATTGTGCGGCTTTTCGCACATAGGCACAATATTCATATCATATGATAGATTCTCCTCATTACTGACAACTTTGGCTCTAGAACCACTGCTGTCAATTAAATAGTTTGTTAAATGATTGAGAAAATGTAAAAAAATATAAATAAAAATAATAATAATTGTGCTAACTTTTTTTTTTTTTTTTGCTCAATCTGAAAAAAAAAACTGTAGTACAATTATCTGGACTCTTTAGGTCAATAATTATATTATTATTATTTTTTTTAAATGTACCCTTTGGGAAGCTATAACGTGGGTCGTTTAAAAAAGGGGCCTGTCCAAATTTACCCAAAATCCTATAAAGCTTAAAGGAAAACTCAAAATTCACAAAACCTGGTAAGCACATGTGACAGGTGATTATAAACAAGCATGCACATTTTTAAGGAGATCAGACCACAGGTGGCGCTATAACAGTTAAAAAAGTATTCAAAAACACTGTATTTCTATGGTAAATGACCTCAACTTGCAGAAACATTCATACATTCACGCAAACACTAGATGTTCCCATCGTACGATCAGTCTCCTGATTCTGAACAACTTTGCCTCTAGGACCACTGCTGTCAATCAAAGTGTTCTTTAAATATTTGACAGTATTAAAAAAAAAAAAAAGTTTCCCAGACTCCTCCAATCCGATCACAGGTGGTACTATCAAAGTCATACATGTTAATAAACTTCACAGTCCTATGGTAAATTACATGCAGTTGCCTAAAATTATATTTTTAATAATTGATTTAGCTAGTTAAAGCCTTGTTTACATAGTGTCTCTTTCCTTATTTGCTTAAATGCCTTAAGCGCTTGAACCCCGATAATCGCTGCTTGCAGCTATATTGTCAATACATAAAAGTGTTACACAGTTACATCTGAATTGACCTGAACATGTTTATTCTCATGTTTATGCATCAAACAATGTAGAAAAAAGATAATAATAATAATAATTCCTTATATTTATATAGTGCTTTTCTGGGCACTCAAAGCGCTTTACACAGAAGGGGGGAATCTCCTCAACCACCAGTTTCTCAAAATATCAACTTAATATAAAGTAAATATTTTCCCAATTTAAATAATCATATTTAGTACAATGACAGTATAAATCAGCACTTATTTAAAGTTTGAAACATCATGTTTAATTTCAAACCCAAATCTATTATAACATTAGATTTTTCTGTCATAGTTTAAAGGGGTCTGTGGATGTGCTGCCTTTATATATTAGAAAAGAAGCATTTAAAGGCAATCATTATTGTCCTTTAATATAAAACTTTAACACAAAAATTTGAAAACTCCTGGTACAGTTAATTAAACAGGAATGCTATAAAGTATGATGTTCTCCAGGTATTTTAGACTTTTCTATATAAAGGAACATATAATTGACCACCTGTTTCAGAGCAGGGTAGTCTGTAGTACAGAAAGTGAACCATTTTCGCTATTCATCAGCCTGACAGTTTCAGAATTGAACATGTGCGATTCAATGACAGAGTGTTAGGTTGATATAAATGTTGTTGCTGTGTTCTGTATCAGTTGAAGCTGTGTGGTTTCTTTGAGCAACTGATTTGCTATTGAGATGAGAAGCAAAAGTGCCCGCCATTCTACAAATGACTGCAAACACAAGACTTTTCGGAGAAAGCAAGTATTCAAGTCAATCCTTGTGCTGTATTGCAGTCCATATCAGATTGAGGTCTTTCTTTGAAAAAAAGATCTGATAATTACTACAGTGCCAAGAACGATTTCTAAAGCAGTACGTACACTTCCTTGAAAAGTTTTCAAATATTTCCACAATGTGGAATCGCCATGATCGTTTGTCTCCAAATCAACGTTTCCAATTTCCAATTTTATTATGCAAAGAGCCTTGTTAGCTTCTGTGACAGTGTTAAATCTGATGTGGGTAAAGTACTTTTTGTTTCCTTCCCTATCTGAAGATGGAGGTCAATGATTGCGGCTGAGTTTCGCTCTCTTATTCTCATTCGCTCACTCAGTCTGTTTCGTCATAGCGCAGTGACTGTATGGAAATACTGAGTAATGGGTTTGCACAAGATCTGTGAGTTCTTGCTTTGGAAGATGTGTTTATATCCAGGACTTTACCAGGGGAAAATGCTCATGGATTCTCCACCAGCTTTTTTTTTTATTTGTAGATCAAATTGTTTCAAATAATTGATGTGGTTTGCATTAGCTGTGAAATGCATGTCATATCACAAGCATTTCCTGTCATTTTTATATGCAAACAGTCACGGGTTTTCGTGGGTTTCCACTAGAGGAAGTGCTGGTTTTTCTTGTGTCATTAGTATTTGTATATTTATTATTACATTGGAATTTCATACATATATTCTTGCCTTATGATTTGCGTATGTTTCTGCTGGTGATATGATATGCACATTTGGACCACATTTGGAATTTTGGAGAAAATCATTTGATATTTTCATTTTAAATCATTTGTGTCTTGTCCTGAAATGACACTAAAGTGAAAAAAAGTGTAGCTATTTTTATTTTTTTTAAAGCTAAAAGAGAACAGCTAGTTGTTACAACACCAAGGTCATGGGTTCAATTCCCAGGGAAAGCAAGCACTTGTGTAAATGTGTACCTTGAATGTAATGTAAGTCTCTTTGGATAAAAGTCTCTGCCAAATGCATAAAAGTGAATGTAAAAAACATTACTAGTGCTTGCTTAAGCAAAATGCAAAAACACCAAAGCAACCACATAGCAACACTCTTGCAACCACCATAATTACCATGTTGGTGAGTTCTGTATAAGAATGCACTTTTTTATAAAATGAAAAAAAAATCTAGATATTTTTATTATTAATAACACTTTTTTCCCCCATAATTTCATCACATCCAACATAGCTCAATATTCAGCATATAAAAAATGTCAGTGCATACATAAAATGTAAATACATACAATGTATGTGCAAAATTGCAAACGTGTGTATGTACAGGTTCTTTATTGTCATTGATGGTTCTATGGAGCACCTTTTAACATCTACAAAACCTTTCCATTGCGCAAAAGGTTATTTATAGTGAAAAAATGAATTTCGAAATGTTAAAATGTTCTTCACACTACACTCCTAAATATAAAGGTTCCAAAATGGTGTTTTTGCACTGATGCCATAGAAGTTCCCCAAAGAAACTTTCAGAATAACAATGGTTTACTTTCTTTTTACTTTCAAAAAGCCTTTTTTTCACTATGAAGTACCTTTTGTGCAGTAGAAAAGTTCCATGGATATTAAAGGTTCTCCATGGAACTATCAAGAAAAAAATTAAAGAAAAAACTGCTTATTTTAAGAACCAATCACTTAAAGGTTCTTTGGAGAACCAAAAATGGTTCTTCTGTAGCATTGCTGCAAAAACTCCTTTTTTTGAGAGTGAGGGGGGGGGGGGGGGGGTACATGAGATTAGACTCATCGTCATTGTCATCATATTCTGATAGTATCTCACTCTTGGCCACTCAAGTAGTAGCTTGAATGTCTCCTCTATAGTCAGCATATGGGCAAAATTATGACCCGATGCATGCAGGAAGTCACAGAGGGTCAGCCCCACTTCTGATAGTCCAGTATCAGCGACACAGCCATATTTAGCATCTCCCTGCTGCCGCTCTAAACGAGAAATAAATGCCGGCTGGACAAACAGCATGAGGAGAAGCAGATACGGATTGTTCAGTGCTTTCACAACCATGAACAAGTCTCACATCTCACGTGAATGTCCGTTCTACGTCTTCAAATTTAAGAGACACAGTGTCCAGCTGGCAAGGCTCTTGTAGAAGTAGAGGACAGGTGATAAAAAGTGACGACTCACCACAGTTCTCGTCTGACTGGAAGGATGAATCTTCCAATCCTGATACATTAACAGACTGTAAAGGTGATTTTTTTGAATAGTTTGGTCTGTCATTGTTATTATCGGTTGTGAAATTACAGCTGGTTTGCTCATGAGACAATGGATCACTGTCTGTTAGGAGCTTCCTGGTATTGCACCACATGCAAGTCTCAACATTAGAACACAAGCACATCACATGACCAGACCGATAGCCACTGCTAGGGCTAGCCATGTTGGCATCTACATCACATGGGATGGTGGCCTCACTTTCAGCATCAGCTGAAGGACTCTGACTACGATATCCATCACCAACTACTACTATCTCAGACAGGAGGTCACCGTCCATTCCCTTGAGACTGTCGGAAGCATCCTGGTTTCCCATTCCCAAGCCACTGTCCTCTTTTCTTTCACTTTCATTGATGCTATTTACTTCACCATCTAGAAAAGGGAGCTCTTCCAGGCTTCTTCTTCCACTGCTGAGACTGTCCTCTGTGCCTGTCAGACTGCCACAGCCGCTGTCTTCCTGTCCCGTAAGTCCATCTGGGCCTCGGTTCTTAATCGAATGCTGCTGGCCGACACTCACTCCACTGTCTGTACTCTCTCTTCTCTCTTTGTCCTCCTCCAAAAGGTCCTTTTTCTCATCAAATGCTTTACTCTTTCCCGCTAATTTGTTGCTAGTCAGGAGCCATCCCTTGTCAGTGACTGTTTCCACTTGGATCAATCCGACATTCATAGGATTCCATCCATTCACAGCAGATTTCTGTAGAAAACAAAAATTAAAAATTAACAATTAATTAAATATTTGGAGAGTATTTAATTTTGTTTGTTTTGTTTTGAAATTAATTATTATTATTCAGCAGGGATGCATTCATTAAAGAATCCTGAATAAAATAAAATAAAATAAAATATATATACATTTTTTTATGTATCGTTGTTTATAACACTAATAAGTACTAATGATAAAATGTTTATTGAGCATCAAATCAGAATAGTACAATTATTTCTGAAGGATCACATGGAAAAGACTGCAGTGATGGGTGCTTAAAATTTGACTTTGTTATCACAGAAGCAAATTATATTTAAAAAAAATATTCAAATTATATTTGAATTGGTATTTTAAATTGTAAAAACATTTCACAATATTACCATATTTATGATCAAATAAATGCAGTCTTGTTAAGCATAAGAGACTTTTTTTCAAAATATATATACACATATTTGTATATAATGTATTCATTTATTTGTCAACCAGAAAGTGTCAAAATAGTTTAATTGTGAATTGAACTGTGTTATCATTTAAACCAAACATTGAGATGATATATACACAAGACATAAAAAATCCCCAGCATTTCCATTTTCTGCTGCTGTTCCTCGAAAGGAGAAGCGACACTTATGACATGGGTCAGTACTGAACTTTTCTTCTTACACTTTATTCCTTTTTTAAGAGTCTGAAACTGGCTTGCTCTAGCACTTTTGGTTTTGATGAAAGTGCATTTATTTTAAAATCCCCAAGTTGACTCACCAGAACAGCAGGCATTTTACCAGGACGCCTCAGGAAAAAACAGACTGCAAACATGAAGAAAGATATGACTCCAACTACACCAATAACGGCCATGGTGATCACCAGGGACACATCTGACAAACAAGAGAAAGTTATTTAAATTTCACAAAGAAATAATTTTAGAAACATACATAGGAAATAATAAACCCAAACACAAAACCGAAGGGTCTTGAATCACCCTCAAGGGGTTTATGTTGTGCTACATACTACTTATTAAATAAATACTGATTCATCTTTTAAAGGGATAGTTCACCCAAAAATGAATATTCTGTCATGTCGTTCCAAACCTGTAAGACCTTTGTTCATCTTTGGAACACAAATTAAGATATTTTTGATCAATTCCCGAGAGCTCTCTGACCCTCCCATAGACAGCAAGGATCCTACTATGATCAAGGTCCAGAAATGTAGCAAGGGCATCGGTAAAATAATCCATGTGACATCAGTGGTTCAACCGTAATTTTACGAAGCTACGAGAGTACTTTTTGTGTGCAAAGAAAACAAAAATAATAACTCCATGTCCATTTTGGAGAGTGTCCACTAAACATAAACAATGTATGCTGTTCTGTGTCAGCAGCACCACATGGATACATTGTTTTCATTCAGATCATAGCGTAAACAACATTTCCGAGTGGAGGTGCTGACACAGAACAGCATACGTTGTTTATGTTCAGTGGATACTCTTCAGAATGGCGCCAGGGTGATGTGGAGGAGACGAATTGTTGAATAAAGTCGTAATTTTTGTTTTCTTTGCGCACAAAAAGTATTCTCGTAGCTTCGTAAAATTACGGTTGAACCACTGATGTCACATGGATTATATTAACAATGTCCTTGCTGGACCTTGAACGTGGAAGGATCCTTGCTGTCTATGCGAGGGTCAGAGACCTCTCGGAATTCATAAAAAATATCTTAATTTATGTTCCGAAGATGAACAAAGGTCTTACAGGTTTGGAATGACATGAGGGTGAGTAATTAATTACATAATTTACATTTTTGGGTGAACTATCCCTTCAATGTTTTGTTGGCATTATATAAAAAAACAGCATCAGAACATTCTTATATTTGAGAGACCTCTGTAAAAATAGATTTATTTATTCAATTAGTGTCCATGTGATCTTCAGTACCTGCTGATGGATATATGCAGCGTGGTAAGGAAGTGTTGCTCACATCACTAGATGTCATCTCCACTTTCACATGGATACAATACTCCTCCCATAACGGTAATGATGTGAACTCCACCTCTCCATCTTCATCATCATCAATTACTGTTAAAGCCTACATCAGAAAAAAACACTGGTTTAGAGATTGCAATGACATGCAAAACAACAAGCAAGGTCCCCTTCAGGAACTCGAGCTGTGTCGAACACTTTGGGAATGACCACGTTCTGAAGCATGTGTGAAATCAGTCCAATAGAGAGGCGAGACGTCACGAGCGGTGTGACGTGAGCAACCAGGAAGCATAAAGGCACATCTGGCAAGCACACATGTTAGCGCCTGCTCCTCAGCGAGCACATCTGTGTGTGTTGCATAAGCACTTCAGTCAGTCAGTATTTCTCCGTTAGAAAGCGGGGCAATGCCTAAGTGTAAAAGTAAATATAATGTGGCACGCGGATGGCGTTTCAAGTCATACACACGATTTGTGCGTCGTCTGTTTGGGACCGGAGCATGCACGGGCAGCCCTCAAGGGGGCTGTGCTTGCCATAACTGTGAGCTTCTCACGCTCCGTGTACTCCGCTCCTGCCTGGCCGTGTTCGGTGAGAACGGCCAGGTTCGCGATCCTACTGGGTCCGGCTTGCTGTTGCCAAGGCACAGTGATGGTTGTTATCGTGGGGATCGCAAGTGGATTTAGCGGAGGGAGCCGAGACAGGCTCGTCCTTATCTCGTTCCTCACCCGCTAGATCCACGACTCCCTCTCAGAGATCGGAAGCCCGCGCCCGCAGTATACTGTGCCCGATCCTCCTCAGTGCCCTCAGGGGGCTTCATTGATACCCCTGCCACCCCCCAGTGCTTCAGGGCTCAGTGTGCTCTGACGAGCAAATTTCCCAGCTGCCACCCGGCAATGGTACGGCACGGGAAAGCTCGTCCCTTCAGATGAGGGCGCTAGAGCTGTCAGGTTGGTCGTTCCCTGCCAGTCATTCACTTCAGGGCACTGAAATGGCTCCTTTAGTGACACTAGAGACCAGTCTCGAGAGACTGGTTCCCTTAGTAGACTTTCTGACAGCATGGAAACTTCTGCCAAATGTCTCGCAATGGGTCCTGCACACTGTAGAGAGAGGTTACAGAATTCAGTTCGGTTCTCATCCACCTCACTTCAACAGGGTTATTCCTATGTTAGTAGGCCCCGAGCAGGCTCTGGTATTGGAACAAGAAGTGGAAACTCTCTTGAGGAAGGAGGCCATAGAACGTGTTCCGAAGAAGGACGGGGGGTTGAGTCCGATCATATATCTGCATCTACTATGCCGCGCTATCAAACGATTTAGGTTTGAAAACACATATTCATCCGTTTCGACAGCCTAGACCTGACATTTACCCCAGGGTCCCAAGTTATCTCGTCTTGATGTGCTCGCCAGATACACACCAGACAGGGACTTGCACATATGGCGCAGTGGGTATTCTCATTCCCAAAGCGTTCGACGCAGCTTGAGTTCCTGAAGGGGAACGTCTTGAAGTTATGTATGTAACCATGGTTCCCCAAAGGGAATGAGACGCTGCGTCTCCCTGCCATACACCCTGCGTCCCTGCAGGCGCTCGCTTCCGCAGAAGCTAACATGTGTGCTTGCCGGATGTGCCTTTATGCTTCCTGGTTGCTCACGTCACCCAGCTCATGACATCTCGCTTCTCTATTGGACTGATTTCACACATGCTTCAGAATGTGATCTCGCCGGGGGCGTTCCTAAAGTGTTCAACGCAGCGTCTCGTTCCCTTCAGGGAACCATGGTTACATACATAACCTCGAGATGTTCATTTATTGCAAAGAAACTTTGTCAAAAAACAATTTTGGGATAGTCCACTAAAAACCAACCTGACTCTCCTGTCCTTTTGGGTACAGAATGACAGAGTAAATTGATCCATATTCAAAAAGATCATTGAGAAATGACTTTCTATAAATCTTAACCTTCACCGTATTAGGGGAGGAAGACAGGTCAAACTCTGGAGCCAACAATTTGCCTAAAACATGGAAGGAAGATCATCATTACCAAATGTACAACCTGTAGACAGTAAAACAGGATGTTCTTATTCTTAAAATAAAGTAGTATTAACAGTATTTATTCCACTTTTTTGGTAAATAGTAGTCCTGCAAATACTTACTCTTAAATAAACGAATTCGTCTTGCTGCTGACCAGGAAAAGTTGTAATTTCCTTTAAACAGTCCAATTTTTATTTTCATTAACGGTTTGTATAAAAAGTTCCCAAGCTCACATCTAGTTTCTGTAGTCATGTTACACTCTGTCACAATGTCCCATTCAGCATTAGGAAGCATATATCTATAAAAAGACAGACAAGTAGATTAGCTTTGGTGTATTGTAAATTTCATTCAAGCAAAAAAGTGGACAAAAACAAAAATTATATTTTCGGCAACTGAGAACATATACATAGTTTTATACTGTTTGGTGGATAGTAAGGCAACATTTCTGCTTACAGTGCTGTCTTTACTTGATAAAGGGCATATACGGGGGCTCCTTTAGGGGGATCCCAGAGCACAGTTACATTTCCCTCCCATATGTCTAATGTCACATTTAATTCCAGTGGTTCACCTGTGAAAAAAAGAGGAAAATTATCAGAATTATCTACAGACTTTCCCATACTTTGAACCAATTATCTTCTCTTCCCAATAGAGAAGTGGTTTATTTGCACTTGTTCCAGTCAAAGCTGAAGTCTCACACTTGAAGTATTATATTTACTGTGAAAAAATCCTGATCAGCTGTACATTTCAGGTGTAGGTGACATGAAAACCCCTTTTTTTTGTAATTTTACTAATATGAATCTCTACTTTATCAAGCAAACTGCCAACCAAAACCAAAAAGTACTTACACAATGATGTAAAATACAATGTACTGGTGAAGACCGGGGCTAGTTAGTTGAGTAAAACAATTATACAAATTGGTGTTTTCTCTAACTGCATTTTCTGTGGTGGTTTTAACAAGGAATAAAGGTCTGTTTTAATATCTGAGGAACCTGACGATATTCTACATTTCCCTCCCATATGTCTAATGTCACATTTAATTCCAGTGGTTCACCTGTGAAAAAAAGAGGAAAATTATCAGAATTATCTACAGACTTTCCCATACTTTGAACCAATTATCTTCTCTTCCCAATAGAGAAGTGGTTTATTTGCACTTGTTCCAGTCAAAGCTGAAGTCTCACACTTGAAGTATTATATTTACTGTGAAAAAATCCTGATCAGCTGTACATTTCAGGTGTAGGTGACATGAAAACCCCTTTTTTTTGTAATTTTACTAATATAGTTTATCAAGCAAACTGCCAACCAAAACCAAAAAGTACTTACACAATGATGTAAAATACAATGTACTGGTGAAGACCAGGGCTAGTTAGTTGAGTAAAACAATTATACAAATTGGTGTTTCACATCTAGTTTCTGTAGTCATGTTACACTCTGTCACAATGTCCCATTCAGCATTAGGAAGCATATATCTATAAAAAGACAGACAAGTAGATTAGCTTTGGTGTATTGTAAATTTCATTCAAGCAAAAAAGTGGACAAAAACAAAAATTATATTTTCGGCAACTGAGAACATATACATAGTTTTATACTGTTTGGTGGATAGTAAGGCAACATTTCTGCTTACAGTGCTGTCTTTACTTGATAAAGGGCATATACGGGGGCTCCTTTAGGGGGATCCCAGAGCACAGTTACATTTCCCTCCCATATGTCTAATGTCACATTTAATTCCAGTGGTTCACCTGTGAAAAAAAGAGGAAAATTATCAGAATTATCTACAGACTTTCCCATACTTTGAACCAATTATCTTCTCTTCCCAATAGAGAAGTGGTTTATTTGCACTTGTTCCAGTCAAAGCTGAAGTCTCACACTTGAAGTATTATATTTACTGTGAAAAAATCCTGATCAGCTGTACATTTCAGGTGTAGGTGACATGAAAACCCCTTTTTTTTGTAATTTTACTAATATGAATCTCTACTTTATCAAGCAAACTGCCAACCAAAACCAAAAAGTACTTACACAATGATGTAAAATACAATGTACTGGTGAAGACCGGGGCTAGTTAGTTGAGTAAAACAATTATACAAATTGGTGTTTTCTCTAACTGCATTTTCTGTGGTGGTTTTAACAAGGAATAAAGGTCTGTTTTAATATCTGAGGAACCTGACGATATTCACTGGAGTCGGATATCGATATCCTTGTCAAATAAAGAGATAAATTAATAAATTAACACATATTGTCTTTGCTATACAGTATATTCATGTTGAAAGGTTTCAAGGTCACTGGGGGGCGTCCAAATTTGGTGAGGAATTTACATCACTCACGTCATCACGGTGACAGAAACCGGGGACTTCAAGGCAAGCGCCCACTTGCACTTTGCATTTACTATGTTTTTTTTTCAGTATTGTCTATACTATCTTTTTATGAATATGTAATGTAAATGTACAAATATTATTTTAAATAAATGACTTGTTATCGTCTAGAGAGAGAGAGAGTCACCTAGCAAAATTAATTTATAAAATATATATATTTTTAAATCTTACCTCCTATGTAAACTGGGGCGTTTATTAACACAACCAAAAAAGAAATCCATGAAGTCCAGTCCATGTTTATGTCAGTTGAGCATCATATCCAATATTAAATCCTGATTCCAGTCCAGTTCCAAAAAACACACACATAAAAACCTCAATGTCAGCATGCACTGTTCCTGATAACTAAATAACCGTTCTAACAGAGCCAGCTCAATGTTCAGTTACTGCTCAGTTCCGTCCGCACGTCTCTCTCTCTCTCTCATGTGAATGTGAGGTTGAGTGGTTGACTGGCTCTCTATGTATTTGCACTGTGAACTTCCCCTCTCTCTGTTTTGCTTTAGTCAGTCTTCCGTGATGGCAGATACAGTATTTCCCCCACTCTGAGAAAGCTATGTTTTTCTCTCTCTCACTTTTGTGGTTATAAACATGCCATCAAGTGCAAATTGTAGCCGTGTACGTGAACATGTACACACAGAACATAAAAAATCTACGCTGCATGTGTGAATCTATTATCTATAAATACTATTCCCAATGTAAAGGGAAATACCAGTGTACAGATTAATTAGGGAGAGTACCAGAGTTATCATGTTTGTTCTTGGTATTTACAAAGGAATTTTTTGTTAGTAATAGCTCATTAAGTTCTTACTGTTTGTGATTTACACTTTTTCTAATCTATAAAAAACCTGGTGTTTCTCAATACTGAACAGGTATGTTTGCATATCAGCGTGTGACCACATGCACATGTGTGCATGCATATCTGCGCCTGATTGCACATCATTTTTATGCATTTTTGCACATTCGATTGACTATCTTCCACGCATCTATTGTTTGCAGAATAATTTTTCTGAGTACAGAAAACCAACTTTGACATTTGGCGGGGTGTGGTTGGAATTTGTAATCAAGTTCTGAGAAGAGGACTGAGCTGTTGCATATATTATGATTTTCTGTGCATTTTCAGGTTCTGTTGCATTAACATCAATTAGTAATACTTTTTTATAATTATGTTTTTAAAGTATAAAATAAATATATAAATATATACATATATACAAACACATACAAAGTTATCCTTAGTGTTACTAAGTTTTATATATATATATATATATATATATATATATATATATATATATATATATATATTATACACACACATA